GGCTAAGAAAGAGAAGTTGATCAGTAGAACACATTAGGTGCACCATATACAAAAACAAGGAACTTAGTAGCCTAGTGTTTGGTAATTCTAAAGATCACAGCTATCAGGATAAAAACTCATTATTTTATAAAAAGTGTCAGGAAAATGGGAACAGACTCTGGCAGGAACTAAATAGAGATCAACATTTCACAGCTCCAAACGAGTACATGACTTAGTCATAAAGGGTGACATCATAAACAAATTAAAGGAGGAGGGAGGAAATTGTCAGATTTTTTGAAGAAGAGTTCATGACAAAATAAGAGGTAGAGAAGATCACAAAAAGCAAAATGGACAATTTTTATTACCTAAAATTCAAAAATTTGTGCAGAAGCAAAACCAATTCATCTAAAATTAGAAGACAAACAGTTAAATGGGAGAAACCCCCTTGTAGCAAGTTTCTTTGATAAAGGACATTCTCTCTTTCTCTCTCTCATACACATATGTATGTTTTTCTTTATTTATAAGAATAAGAGCCATTCCCTAATTGAGAAATGGTCAAAGGCTATAAACAAGCACCTTTAAGAAGAAATTCATGTTTTTTGATGCAGTGATAATGGTACTAGGGCTAAACCCCAAAGAGGAAAAGGGCCCTTGGATATAAAAGTATTTATAGCAGCTCTTTTTGTGGTGGCTAAGAATTGGAAACTGAGGACTTGCCTATCAGTTAGGAAATGAATGAACAAATTAGGGTATATGAATATGATGGAATACTATTGTGCTATATGGAATACTATATGGAATACCCTAAGAAATGAAGAAGGGTATGATTTCAGAGAAACCTGGAAAGATTTTTAGGAAGTGGTGCAGAGTGAAACGACAACCAGGAGAACAATTTATGCAACAACAACACTGTTGTAAAGATGGACAACTTTGAAAGACTTAAGGTCTTTGATCAAAGCAATGACCAATGATGATTCAAAGGATTCATGATAAAGCATGCTCTTGACAAAGAGGTGATGGATTCAGAGGACAGACTAAGATATATATCTTTTTTGATATGGCTATGCAGGCATTTGTTTTGCTTGACTACATATGTTTGTACTGTGGTTTTGGTTTTTTCTTTATTTTTCAATTTGGGTAGGAGGAAGGTGGGAAGTACAGACACAGAGATTTATTGATATAAAAAAGAAACTATGAGTCCAGAAATAGGTAATTTTTACTAAATGACCAGCCACTGAGAGAGACCAATCTCTTTCTTCCAGTGAGAGATTAGTGGTCACACTGACATTTGTATATAAACTACAATCAATGTTGGAGACGCATCAAAATATTTTCCCCCATAAATATAGATCCAAAAAGGAAAACATCTATATTGTCCTTCATGTGTCTTTAGTGATTATACTTTTTTTTGGTGAGGCAATCGGAGTTAAGTGACTTGCCCAGGGTCACACAGCTAGTAAGTGTCAAGTGTCTGAGGCTGGAAAGCATCTATATTGGAGAAGGACCTTTTATAGGAGACTCTCAAATTTTATTCATATCATCAAGATATTTTTGAAAATAGAGTTTCCAAAGTGCTTTCACATCTACTATCCCTTTTGATTTTTATAATTACCTATGAGGGAGGGTAGGGCAAGTATTATTTATTGCTACCATTTGGGAGGGGAAAATGTTGTGAAAAAGCAAATTTAGGTTTAATATATGGAAAAACTTCCTAACATTTAGAATTGTCCAGAAGTGAAGTGGGATGCATTTGGAAGCAGTGGGTTCTCCCTTCCTGGAGACTTTGTGCAAAATCAAAACCAGTTTAGCTAAAATTAAAAAAGGAAACAGGTAAATGGAAAAAAAAAATCTTTGCAGCAAGTTTGTCTGATACAAGTAAGGCTTCAAGCTAAAGTTGGAGGACCACTTATCAAGTTCTTACTCATCTATGAGTTAGGCTAAAAGCTTCTGATGACCCTTCCAATTATGAGATTCTGTGATTCTGTGACTTGCCCAAGATGCATGGGGAAGTAGAAAGAATGCTGGCCCTCGAGTCAGAGGACATGAATTTAAATCCTGGCTCTGCCACTTACTCCCTGTGACCTTGAAGAAATTACTTAACCTCTCTGGGTTTCAGTAAAATGTGTGTAATACCTTAACATCCATTTCACTTTTAAGGCTATGCCATAACTAGTCACTAATAGAGCTGGGATTAGAATCCAGTCTCTTAACTCATGGTATGTTATTCTTATTACTACTTCCTTTAATATTTCAAGGATCTCTAATTTCATCAGTGTGGGTACTCCCTTAAAGGATGCATGCCAAACCTCCTTCCTACACCTATGAATAGCTATGACCAAAAAAATTCATCATTTGGAGCCAAGCTTCTGATGGTGTACCTCTTCTATATTTATCTTGGCTGGTCATCAGACAGTAAGACATATAATTTGTCCCTAGATCTGTACTTGAAGTCTTTTCAACTTGGTATAACACCATATAAATATCTTATGAGTTGTTTTTAGGATATCAGATTATCTACAAAGCTTCCTAAAATCACTTTAAAGTTTAGGTTTATGTTTTAGAATGTAAGATCCTGGAGGATAAGGGTCACTCTGGGTCTCAGGTCTGTTTAGCATTCAGCAGACAGTGTGTAAATTAATTAGCTCATTGGCACTCTTGGTACACAATAAGAAACAATGTAAGCACAGATCCTTGAAATATTGATGTATCATCACCTAAGGGGTGAGAACAGGGAAGGCTAGTCATGTCTATGGAATTATCCAAGAATCTGCACAAAGCTAAGGCTTGCAAAAGAAGTAGAGAAGTCTTTGTGCCTGAAAGTCAAGTTCTTTCAGTTATCAGTGGAATTAATGAGGAAAAACCAGGCTGTGAGCTATTTCTTAGCAACTGGGGATAGCTGGAGAAAGGAGAAGTGATGTTTTTGGTATCATGAAATAAATGTGTTGATACCCTTTTAAAAAAGCTGTAAATCATTGTATAGAAATAAGGTGTTATTGCTGTCTTTATGTCTCAACCTCCCTATGAAGTTCATATCTTGTTCCCACTCACTCATCTGTCCCTTGTCTAACCTCCTGTTAGCTTCATCTCCTGTACCATATTTGATTATACATAGTCTTGCTTTCTTCTATTATTTTATGTATTAATTTGGTCCCCCTCCTCCCTCAAATAGTGTGCTTACAAATGTATGAGCCATTTATTTGTCCAACTTGGATTCCAGGAACTAAGTCCAAGTAAAACAATTGCATACCACTCAAAACACAAAAAAGCTAATTAGATAATAAGGATTTTCTAAAATACTAAGCCAATACAGCTGTGGTTCAGGTTTAGTTCAACTTGATTCATGTTTATGAATATACCTAAGCAACAAGTTGCCTAAAAATAAGTTACCTAAAATAGCCTGATTTTATTACCTGGTCCTCCTCTCTATATAACTGAATCCTATTCATCCTTCAGGGCAGCTAGGTGGTACAGTGGATGGAGTGCTGGGCCTAAAGTCAGGAAGACTCATCTATCTAAGTTCAAATCTGGCCTCAGACACTAGCTTTGTGACCCTGGGTAAGTCACTTAACCCTGTTTGCCTCAGTTCCTCACCTGTAAAATGAGCTGCAGAAGTAAAAGGCAAGCCACTCTAACATCTTTGCCAAGAAAACTCCAATGGGTCGTGAAGAGTTGGACGCAACTGAAAGAACTCAACAACAACAACAATAGCAGCAGCAGCAATAACAACAATTCATCTTTTAAGGCCAAGCTCAAGTCCTAGCTCTTCCATGAAGCCTCCTGTGACCACTCCATCTCACAGTGATATCCCCCTTTTCAGTTCTCCCTCAGCATTCACTGTCTCTATCACTAACAGAAACTTTCTGCCCTTTCCTCTTTTCAGTTGCTGAATCCTTCAAAGCCCAACTTAAAGGCTACCTCCTGGAACCTTTGTTTTGCATCTCTAATGCACTTGTTGTGTAAAGTTATATTTTATAGTTACCTGAGTTTATGTCTCATTTCCCCACTAGGGTGCAAACTCCCTCAGGACAGGGACCATGTCTTATCTAAATTTGGTGTTTCCTTCATGGCCTAGTATAATATGGTAGGTACCTATAGTTCATAGAACAAATTATTATTTAGCTTTCAATGTGCATTTGTTTCTTGTCTTTCCAGCTTATTTGTAAATTCCCTAAGCATGGACCTATCTAATGTTTCTATCTTCCCACAAGTACTAGACCCACAAAAGGTCTTCAATAAAAGCTATGGAATAATTGCTCCATAATTATAATGACATTATGTTTTGTTCCATAAATGCACTGTTTCAAAGTCAAGAAGACCTATGTTCAAATCTATGTCCTGCTCCTTTCTCTTTTCCACCCCACTCCGTACACATATAGTGTCTGTATGACACTGAGCAAATCTCTTAACCTTCCTGCTCAAGGCAACTCTTTAAGAATATAAGTTGCAGAGAAAGTGAAAATCTGCATTCATAGAGAGCATTTCCTTACATGGGAGTTCCCTATATCAATTAAATTACAGGTATCTCAATATTGGATGGTAAGTGTGTTTATAGCATTGCCTATGAACATAAAAATCAATCTTATAATATAGCATATTTATAATATGACATTTGGTATGAATAGACTGTCACATGCTGCCTGGAAAGAGCTTTCCTTAAACACACAATAACAGAATCTGTCAAGTAAACAGTAAGTAAGCAGAAAATATGTTTTTTTCCTTCCCAAATAAAAATTGTGTTTCCTTTTTAGTTTCTTGTTGAGGGCTTTTGGTATTTGCAAACATTATAATCTAACCCAAACCCTGGAACTTTTATCAAGGGTGAGCTGCCTCGGGGGGAAGGTCTGGTACAACTCTCTGAGAAACTGTTTCTCTCTCTAGGAGGATTAAACTGCACCCAGATCATGGCTCAGTGACCTGCTAGATGCAATTTCAACAGGTGCAAAGCTTTTGACATCTCCTTTCTATTAGGGAAGCTTAATCAAACACAAGATGACATTGCTGACCAGCACCCCCATGGTTACCTGTAGTACCACTAGTGAAACACACGATTGAAAGGTCTTCTGGCCGAGGAGGCTAAGAGGAGACAGGAAAAGAAAAAGGAAATTATTGGAATGTCCACCTATACCTGCTCTATTTTTATGAGAGAATGCAAATCTCATTTCCTGCTTCTTAGAATTCTCTACTACCTGTTGATTTCTCATTCCTTCTTGTTCTCCCTCAGATGTCTGTGACAAATGCTCTCCCACAGGATACATCCCTCAGTCTAATCTTTCCATGATGACTGCTTCTTTGCTCCCAGCCTTGGCCCCTAAATCTGACCTCCTTTATACACCTAGAAAAAAGTATTCTTTCCATGGTGCAGTGATTAGAGTGTTTCATTTTGAATCAGAAGACCTGGATTCAAATCCCACCTCCTCTTCTACCTGTGTGACCTTGAACAAGTCACTTCTACTCTTTGAGTTTCAGTTTCTTCATCTATGAAATGAAGGGACTGAATAGATGGCCATGCCAGTTCTAAATTTATGACCCTGGGATCTGGATACAGATTTCATCTCTGATGCCTACTGCCTTTTTAACCTTGGGAAAGTCATTTAACCTCAGTTGCCTTAACTGTAAAATAAGGGGGTTGGACTAAATGACCACTGAGGTGCCTTTTAGCTCAAATCCCTGATTCCATGATTCTGTGATTTCTAGCCCAGAATCACCATAGTTAATGAAACCATCTGCAAAAAAAAAGTGATGGAAAACAAGGTGTGATCTGGAATGCTCTTTTTGTCCCCTTGGTCACCCAAGTAGCTGAAGCCTACATCCTTGCAGGTCCAGATCAAGTTCTATCAACTCCATGAAGTCTTTCTTGATCACTCTCAGGGCTCAATTTTTCTCTTTTACCTCTCTTCAAGCTTGAATCACCTATAATCTCATATACCTAAGAACTTTTCATGGGTATGTGTACAATCCCCTGGTCCAGATTTGTCTTGAGGGCACTGACCTTTTATCTCCTAACATCTAATATTCAGTAAATACTCAACACGTTTATTGATTATTAACTTACCACAGGAGGGTGATGGTTCTCTCGTCCACAATCCTGAAAAAAGGAAATGTGGTTTTAAAAGTCCTTAAATACATTTACATCATCAGAGCATTGAAATTCACTCAAATGATATTCACTCACTTCATTCCAGCACCCCACATTATTAAAACCTTTCAGCATTAATTAGAAAGACAGTATTTGGGAAATTTGGGTGCTAATAGCCCTGAGGAGGTGAGGTCAAAGAAAGGTCAGAAACGTTGCCTACACCACTGGTGTCAAATTCAAATAGTAATGGATTCTTGCAAGCTACATATTGACTTGGAAAACCACAAATGTATGCTATCTATATTGTGTTGTATTATTTTTTATTTTATTAAACATGTCCCAATTCCATTTTGATCTGGTTGAGTTATACTCCCAAGAGTTTGATGCCTCTGGCCTAGACCATGGCCAAGTTTATTCCAGTGGAAAATGGGGCAATTTCCACAGTTGTTGATATTTTCATTATATCTGGTGTCCTTATGGGTAAAAACTTTGTCTCCAGAGTCCCACATGATACTACATGTCCCATGTGAGACTGGAGGGTGTTTTGTCCAGTTGAGGGTTGTCTGTACAGGCTGTGTTTACTATTGTGGGGAAGGGGAAAGTTGAACTAAGACAAACACCCAATTAGAACTAGCAGTTAAGCAGATGTATAACAGCTGATTGTTTGGTGAAATTCATTCATTTTCTTCCTAAAATGGTTTGTGTGTCAACAGAGCATTGGACCACAAACCCTCAGACAATAGGAATTCTGTGGCCTTTCATACCATGCTTGGTATATAATATCCCATTCAAGCAGATGTAGGCCCTCACTTGACTCAGCAGGCACTGTCCTGAAAAGTTGTATATATGGCAGCAAGTTGAAATGGAAAGAACTAGACTAACTAAAGAGTTAGGAAACCTGGGTTCAAATCCTAGCTCTAGCACTTAGCTGTATGGTCCTGAACAGGTCACTTCAGATCTCTGAGCCTCAATTTCCTTACCTACAAAATGGTGATAATGATATAATGCCCACTTCCCAGTGTTATTATAAGTGTTCTTTAAACCTTAAAGCACTGTAATAATGTTCTTGTTATTATATTTTAAATGCATGAGGAAATTCACTATAAAACACTATCCTAAGGAAAATTCTTTTCTAAAATGAATAATTACCACTTTCACTAATTTATCTTTTGGTAGGCAGCAAAGCATAGTGGATAGAAAGCTGGCTTTGGAGTCAGCAAAATCTGGGTTCACATCTTGTCTCTGACACGTAGTATCTGTGTGACCATGGGCAAATCACTTAATCTTTCAATGTCCTAGGCAACTCTTTAAGACCAAAAGTTTCAAACAAGTTGCCACCTGGCTTTGGTGGAAGGAATTTCCTTACTATAATTTTTTTTACAATGAGGAAGTCACAGGTATGGGCTGAACCGAATAAAAAGTTATTTTATATAACTCTGGATTTCAGCACATTGAGTTTGCTTAAAATGACGTATTATCCAGAAGTCCCAAATGAATGCTTTTTGTTGTTGTCTGATCATAGTGACAAAGGCCACACAAATTGTAGAGAATGCTAACTTCACCCTATTATCTCCTCAGAAACAGAGTTGAGTGGGAAAGAATTAATTCAATGGGGTGCCAAATATTTAGGAGCTATTTACTAGGCTGCCAAAGCCCCCGCTATATAAGAACTTCAGAATATGACTCCACCCTTACTCAATATCATCTTCACCTTTTCTTTCATTGAATAGCTATAATAATCTGGGAAAGGGGCTAAGCCCAAATTCTGCATACTTCATGACTACTTAAAATATTGTATATATGTGTGTGTGTGTGTGTGTGTGTGTGTGTGTGTGTGTGTGTGTATGTATATGACAGAGTTGAATCTCTCTTTACACTCCTATATGATTTAATGCCTATTTTATTCCTTGGCATTTAGCATATATTTCTTTCTACTAAAGACATGTCAGACATGGCCCCAGACAGATTATAAAGGGCATGGACTGTGTCCACTCTATCCTTTGGATTCACCATAATATAGCTAAACATAGGGCTGGGTAGCTATACTGTAATGTCTTCTTAAGTGAGGGTTGAAGGTTCAAGAAAAGGTGTGAGAGCTATGTTACTGTGGCCCCATTTCTAGAAAGACCACAAATTGGACAGATACGGTGGTTCCCTAAACCCAGAGATAATTGTTACTGTCAGATATTCTGTGTTAACTCAGCTGGTGCTGTCCATTGTGCTAAAATGAGGCCAGGCTTCATGCCTAGAGAGCTTCTTCTAGTCTCTGCGTTTCTAACATCAAGCTCAAGAGGGATGAATCCTCCATTATGCTGGCTGCTATTGATTGAATTGACCCATACCCTGGACAAGAATAAAAACAATTCTGGATGTGTACATTCCATTCAGATGAATATCCTTTCCCCTGGATGCCTTCCTTAGAGAGTTGGAGCATGCTTAATATTTTCTTCATAGTTTACATCAGTATCATTTTAGATCATGACAAGTCTAGGAGGGAGATAGCTTGGTACAGTTATATACCAAAGAGCAGTGATTCTGGAGTCAGAAGGCCTGGGTTCAAATCCCAACTTAAATTCCAACCTTCCTGAATTTCAGTTTCCTCATCTAGAAAATGAAGGAGTTAGACTAGATGGCCTTTGAAATCCTATCATACTCTATAACTATAATCCTATGAGGTCAGCTTCAATCCATGTCTATAATATAGATGGAAATGATGACCCCTGCATAGCTGTTCCTTTCATATGGAGACACCTGGGCTTATAGTGCTAGCTTTGACATAAAATTGCTATGTGACCTCAGATAATACCTTTAACTTCTCTGACAGTTAGTCAATAAACATTTATCAGGCATCTACCCTGTGCTAGGGACTGTGCTAAGAATTAGCAAGGTATAGTGGAAAGAGCAGCTAGGTGGCTTAGTGAGGAGAATGCTGGGTCTGGAGTCAGGAAGACCTGAGTTCAAATCTGGCCTCAGACACTCGGTAGCTGTGTGACTCTTGGCAAGTCACTTAACCTCTGTTTGCTTAATCAACTGGAGAAGGAAATGCTAAGCCACTCCAGAATCTTTGCCAAGAAAACCCCATGGACAATATTGGTGCACTATGGTTTGTGAAATCACGAAGAGTTGGACAAACTAAACAACAGCAAGGGGAAAGAGCGCTAGCCTTGAAGCCAGAAGACTTAAGTTTGAGTCCTGTACTAACATTGACTAACTGTGAAGTCCAAGGCAAGTCACTTCACTTTCCAGAATCTCAGTTTCCTAATTTGTAAGACAGAAGAAATTAGACTTCTACTACTTACTTCTCAGGGTTGTAAAGAAAAGCTGTTTTAAAAGGATAGTTATTATAACTTCTTAGTGGAGAAGTTATATTATCAGTCAGAGATAATAAAACCTTTCCAACCTACCTCACAACTACTGAAAGCAGCTGTGAAAAAAAGTTTTTAGAAATTTAACAGTTTATCTGGTTTGACATTTTTAAAGAAAGAGCTTCTATTAAAACCAAGCAAAGAAGCTCACCTCGACTTCCTTCACGGACTGAATCTCCACACCACATTTCTTCCCTCGTTCTTTCAAGTCCTTTTCAAATGGTTCAATGAGAATAATGAACTTCAGGCCAGGAATTTCCTTCTTCTCCACATTTTCCAGGAGAAGGATGGCTTTTTCAGGTCTATCACAAATCACTGTGGCAATATCAGCTGAGAAGAAAATTATCGTAAACGTCAGTACTAGGCAAACTCTCTGGCGATGGCCTGCCCAAAGCATGCTATAGTTATAGGGTGGCCTAGGCAGATGGTGCACCAGGATCCACAGCTCTGGCTTTTAGAACCTTGCCCCATGATACTGTAGCTTCCATTCAGCAACATTGCCATACATTTGTGTGGGATTTAATTAATGCTTAGTTTTTAAAAATTGCTAACAGAAGTTTGTGCATATGCATGTGTGTATGCCTTCATGAGTGATCACACATGTATGCATGCATGCAAATTAGAGGGGCAGGAAGAAAAGTACTGGTCTGTTGGTGACCTAGTTTTCCCATGGGAACTGATTGTAGGGAGGACAGATACTTAGAAGACAAACTTCCTATCTACAAAGTGGAAAGCCCTCAGTTGGAAAGGAAACTCTTCCTTTCTAACTTCTAGACCAGCAAAGAAATTAGGAATTTCACAAAAAATGGAACTAGACCAAACCATTAAGGATGAGTTTGGATAAGGCATGTACTGATGGTCTGGTAGAATATGCTGTTGCTCTGAAAATTCCCATTCCAAGGGTACTTTGGCAATCTTCTTTGGGAAATGGAATTTCTGTGTGCCTTCCCTGAATTAATGTTACCTGTATTAATAATGTAGCGAATGGCGCCTGGGCCTAATGTGTCATATAGTGGAACCACCACCATGGAATAGGTGTAGCAGGCCAGCTCCGAGATGATCCACTGGTAAGAGCCACAGGAGAGAGGATTTGGTGAGAAGAGGGAGAGGAGGAGAGTTAAAATACTTTTCAGTGACTTGAAACATGAAAAAAAAATAGATAACACTGTTTCTGTCACCTCTGGACGGTTCTGAGCAAAGACACCAATAAACTGCTCTGTTGATGGTTTACATTCATGTTGGAGGAGTCCTGATCCCAGAAACTCTGCCCTGTCTGCCACCTGGGTATATAGGAAAGACAATTTAGTAAGGAAAAAAATTACTACATTAGAAATCTTGATATATAGCTAAGAGATTGAATGTTTCCATTTAAACAATTGTATTCCTTATACTACAGAAAGAATCTGATGTAGTGAATAGAGAGTTAGCATTAGGGTGAAGACAACTTGGGTTCAAGGTGTACCTTTGATATATTATCTGGTTGACCTTAGGCAAAGTCACTTATCCTCCCAGGTAACTCCCTAAGAAGGTAAATTACATTTAAGTTGCCAATCTGCATTAGTGGAAGTAGTTTCTTCACCAATGAGCTCTATACCAATGAAATCATAAGTCTTCCCCACAATGGATGGCACTAAGATTTCCCCTCCCTCTAACTGTTATCAGCTAAAAGCCAAGAACAAGGTTGCTAAAGGCCACCGAATTGCTGATGAATCCAGTTTCCTCTCAAAAGATTTGAAGTGCATCCAAGATACATTTCCTGATGTTTGCTAATGGCATTATTAGGTAAAAATAACCTGTCATATTTGTCAGCAAAAATATGACAAATGACATGAAATAACCTTGGAGATGAGTAAATATTGCACTGATGTCTTAAGCTATTTCCTTGGAGTTTATTTAGTTACAAACAATGTCAACCTCATGTACTGAACAGTTCTTACCTCTCTGTAGGACAACCACTGATATGGCTGCTTGGGCTTCCTGGATCCAAGGCAGGGACCATCTCCTAAAAAAGAGGAATATTGACTGTTAGTCATTGTAGACATTATGGAAAACCGTTTTATGAAAATCCTTTGATGTCTCCATTTACCTACAACACTGCATAGCTTTCTCTGGCCTGATGAAGCAACATGCCAGGTTGGGGAGGATTTAAAAAAAAATTGTGATGGAGAGTCCCCAGGCTGACCCATCCATACACATTCTAGTAAATTATGTATTCCAAGAGTTGGGTAAATGGGTAGGTAGAGAATGAATATGGTAACACACAAGGCTGCTAGTGTACCTAAAGGCCAGAGAGTTTAAAAAACATTCCTCTTGGGGGCAGGAGTTTCAATGTGGGTACACTGCATGAACTTTAAAGGGAGCTTGTGAAAGACTAAGCAGCTGCCCTTACTCAGTCCTAGAGTTCTTGTGTACATATTAATCACCATGAAGGCAAAATATTTTATGTATATGTTTGCAATCAGGAAAGCAAACCAAGAAGTATCCTCCCCTCCTCTCTCTATCCCCAAATCATGAAGGGTCATTTATAGTGCTTTTATATTATTGAATATCTCTTATGGTTTTTTTGGGGGGGGGATTGTGTTGAGCATCACACAGCCTGAGGCTATCTTCCATCAGTGTGTCACACTACCACTATCTCACATTTTCACAGTGTTTTAATGGTTGAAAAAGGGCTTTAGATATTGGATACTCATCACAACCCTGTAAGTATAAGAGATTTTCTTTTATCCCCACTTTATAGATGAGAAAAGTGAGACCCAGAGTGACTTGCTCAGGGTTATAGACCTTGTAAATGTCAGAGGGAGGATTAAAACCTAGGTCTCCTGACTCTCAGTTTGGAACTCTTTCCATTATATAATGCCCTTGCCATAAAGCTAACTAACCAAGTTACATAAGGGTCAATATTGCCAGTTCTAGACCTACTTCAAGTGTTTCCTCATAGCGTTTGTTCTAGCCAAGAACAATCTAAATAGACAATTTTAAAGAAATGTCTTTAATAGCTGTGTGACTCTGGGCAAGTCACTTAACCCCAACTGCCTCACAAAAGAAAGGGAAAAAATCTTTCATACACACACAAAACAGTGTGTAGAAATACATCAAACTTAATGGGGAAACAAGTGGGAGTGGGAAGAAATTGTTAAGAAAGAGCATAATGCCAAGGAGGGAGTAGTCACAAGCAAAACAAACTTCTGATCCAAAATGGGGATTAAAAAGGAGAAAGAAAAGGACTAGTATCTAAGATGGCACCTTAAGATCGCCTATTACGCAATTTGGGAATGGCTGCACAGACTGTATATGAAATGTAATGGAGTGTGATTGCAAGCCCTTCCATTAGACTGTGAGCTCCTTGAGAGCAGAGAATGTTTGTTTGGGTTTCTTTTTTTTTTTTCTTTTTTGCCTTACTTTGTGTCCCCAGAGCTTAGCACAGCATTTGGCACAGAGCAGATACTTAATAAGTGCTTGTTGACTTATTGCCCCAAAAGAAATGACAAAAGAGATAATTGCAGAGAATCCTGGGTTGTAGGAACAGTTGCAGAGTAAACTGAGCAGAAGCAGGAGAACAATTTTTACAAGGACAGCTCCATTGTAAAGAAAAACAACTTTGATAAGCACTCTGATCAAAGCAATAACCAATCAGGTCACCAGAGGACCTCTGATGAATCCTGTTACCCACTTCCTGACAGAAAGGTGGTATACCTAAAGTGCAGAGACATTAACATTTTTGTACATTCACTACCTGGATTCACTTAGCTTGACTATGTTTATTTGTTACAAGTCCCCTACCCCACTCTTCTCCTTTTATAATCTGTTAGTTGTGGAGGGGGAATGGTTGGGAGAAGGTGAAGTTCTACGAGGTCATTAGCATAGTGATCCTTCTCTCCCCTGCAAGAGGACAATTTTAACATTTTTTTTTAAGTTCTCAGAAGACAACAGAAGGAAAATCAGAAGGAAGAAATGACAGACAGGATAGTTTTAAAAGTAATTTGAAAAATGTATTATATGCTTTTTAAAAAAAGCAAGCCATGTGAAATGGAGATTATTTTATATATTTATATGTATTATATATTAATCATTATCTATTTTTCTGTATTGTGATATGTATATGTGATATATATATGTATATGCTTTTTGGAGATTAAGTTCAAAATTTTTAAAAATTAAAAAGAAGTGCCCTTTAAAAGAAGTGTCAAGAAATTTTTTTTAAATTGGAGGCTATCACTATTCTACCTTCACCTAGACTGGAGGCCTTATTAACAATGAGGGAAGTTTCAGACCATCTGCAATTTCTTATTGCCTTATATCCCAGTCTATTTCAACTAATCAAATATTAAGTAAAACCTGGTATGTGCAGAGTTCTATGCTAGTACCCTGTGATACAAATAAATTGTGTGTGTGTGTGTGTGTGTGTGTTTCTGTGGGGGTGGGTGGGTGTGGGTATGAATGTTGGTGTAGTGGTTGTGGTGGTGGTGGTGGTGGTGCTGGGGAGAGGGAGTCAGCATCACCTTCCCTGAAACTCAATTCAGCAGGGAAGGCAGAAAATCAGGCCTGTCTAGCTGCAGCAACAATATTCTCTGACACTGGCCAAGGCCAGCCCTATGGGCAGGAGAGTCAACAGCAAACTCAGCACCCTCTTCCTCAGTCCAGTGAGGGAGGAGGAAAAAGGTAAGAGGAAGCCACTAGGTGCATCTGCCTCATCAGTCCCAAAGAGAACAGGATCTTTGAAAGGTCTGCCCTGGACAGAATCCAGCAAGTCTGAGGATAGGGTTGATAACATCCTTAGGACAGTATTACAGGCTGGATAAGCAGCCTCTAGAAATAAGGACCTGCAATATGACTTTGACCTTTTCAAGGCAGCCAGGAAGAGCTTGCTGGGGAAATGGTTTTTGGGAAAAAGCCCTGGTCATACAGACAGCAGCTTCTATACAAAAGGTGTAAGACAGCAAGGGCTCCTCCTTCTCACTGTCTCTGAAGCAGGAGAAAGGCTATGAAAGGCTGGCTCCTGAACATGCTCACTCCTTCACTTAAGTAACAAACAGAGAATGTTTGACCCATAGGTTTGGGTTAATGGAAGCACAGCCCCCTAGCCACCTCAGACCAGTAGGCTTCACTCTGCTAGGTTGGGACAGAAGGTCAGACTTCTCAGCAGAGTCTCAGAGGAGTCAAGAGTCATAGGGTTTCAAGCTGGAAGGACATGTGCATTTGGTCACCTTCTTCTTCCCCCTTATTTTTATACAAGAGGGAGCTAAGGCTTAGAAAAAGCAAGGACCTTGCCCAAGGTAACATAGGTAGTAAGAAATAGAACCAACTTTTTAGTCCGAATCCAGTATTTTTCCCTTTATTCCATGTTGCTCTTCAGAGACTGTACCAAGAGTGGGCATGAAAGTCAGCATAAAGGGAATACAAGAAGGAAAACTTTTTAATAGAACTTTTTACAAACGTATTTTTCCAGCCAGAAAATCCTGTCTGAGAGTGTTTATTCTATAAGAGGCTGAGTCATGTAGATTGCAGTGAAGGCTCAGAGATTCCAAGGGATAGTCAAGGGATAGTGGGAACAATTGTCAAATCTTGGCTGGCTAAGCCTCTTACAATAAAAATAACAACAACAACAACAAAAACCACAACAAAGAAACATGTGACCACTTCAACTCAAAGACACCCTCCAGAAAGCAAAATACCCAAATTTTAAGAGAACAGCAACAAGAAAGCCTTGTCTCCACGTCACTGGACAGGAGGCTGGTCCCACACATAAAACAAACCAAAAAAAAGATCTTTCTTGACCTGAATTGTAAACCACTTTCCAAAGACAATCTTGGCCTTCCTGCCTAACCCCGAACTTTTGGAGTACAGACCCAAATGTTCTAAAAACCAAAGGCAAGATAAACTACATAACAGTTACATCCCCTCAGGCAGTGGGGGTATCATTTTTTGGAGGTATCTGACAATCTCCTGACGGTGCCAAAAAGGGTAAAGAGTAGTTACCACACAGACAAAAGCAAAAGGCTCTGCTGCTTCTTCCTCTCATCTAGTTCTTGTGTGAAAAAAAAGAGAAAGCTATGATTTCCTTAACTCCCTCTATTCTACACAAGGTATACCCTCACTGGCTATTTACAGAATCACACTCTCAGAGTCTTATAGGATGTCAGTTTTTTCTGTCCAGATTCCCTCCTCTTTAATGACCTCATGCTGGGATGCTGTTTTTATGCCTTTCATTTTTACACCAAGACAGTCATGTGCAGCCCCTGAGAAAGGTCATCTTGGGGTATGTTTAGCTTCTTTGCCAAGTACAAAGACATTATCTGGAAATCCAGAAAAATAGAATTATTTATCAAACTAGGTGTCTTAGTCTTAATTTATGCCTAGACCAAAGGCCAGATGCTGGGGAAAAGCAGTTGGGCCCCTGACCAAAAGAGACACTACTCTAACTTTATAGATACAGCATGTTGGGGTGGGGAGTGGGGAGGGGATACAGACAGGGGCCAATAACTGTAGTGAGTTTTCATTATTCACAGAAATGATTTACCTAGAAACAAGGCCCATTTACTGCATGCTCTCACTATTGTATCTGAAGGTGTAGCTTGAATTTCTGCAGCATTGAGATGCTCCTATTCTGAAAAAAATGTATTTTGAAAATAGTCCTCAAATTCACCTTAGTAGTAAATTCCCCTTGTAATTTGATCTAGATTGGGAGGAAATGAGCTTGAAATGCTAACCGAAGGTTTTAAAATGGGACTTGTTTGTTTTCGACTTAGTAACCTCACCTGTAATAATGTGAAGGGAAGGTCAAGCTTATTTCTCCTAGTTCAGAGGTTGTTGAGTTGACCAAAATCTGTTCCATGGAATGTAAAAATTTACTTAAAGCCTTAAATATTCCTTAGATAAAATGCTAGAGGAAGAATTTCAACTGTTCCTAAGTCCTTGGTCATATGTAAATCTTCCTCCTCAATTAGCCTATTTGTAAACTCTCTAAATGTTTAATCTGTGACCTGACTTAGTTTGTCTATAGAGTTTGTTTGACAAAGTTTGTTTCCTTAAGAGAAGTATGATATTATGACTCCATTTGACTAAATTTGCTCAACTTTTATGACATTGAAGGAAGTATGCTAACTTTATGGCCCAAGAGGAATGTACAAGATTGCTAAGGTAAAAAAATTATTTCTCTATCACTCTGATGTATTTTTGCCTATAAGAGACTGTCAGAATCCTAATGAGGGTTCAGGTTTTCTCTGAGGCCTGAACCTATGCTTGAGCAACCTTGGTTGTTAACTCTATAATTTCTGCCTTGTGGTAACTATATTTTGACAGCAGTTACCTACTATACAAACTCAGAGAAGAGATATTTCTCCCATAACAGTCTAGATTGGGCTTGGACAACATACAGTCCACACACTGCTTACAGCCTGCCAATGGATTTGGGCAGCCTGTGAAAAATGTAGAGCATGTAAAACAGGCCTGCACAACATACCACCCACAGGCCACTTTGGTGGGCCACAAGTGGCCCACAGGCCATTAGTTGTTCAGGCCTATCTAGAGGAATTTTTTTTTCCTAACCCAACATTGTTTTGGTCTTCCTCTCTTTTTGGAACACTGAGCATCACTTTTTAATCCTTCCAGACCCTATGTCCTGAACCAGAGAAGATAGTCCCAAGCAGTTCTCTGAATATACTAAATTATGATAGTCACAACACCAGGATTACACTATTATGTGCTAAAAGACAAAGATATCAAAGCAGCTCCAGGACCAAACCAGATTAAAATGTAATTGGGAAATAATTTAACAAAATAAATAAAAATATAATAGAACATAGATAATGTTAATTCTTTTTTTTTTTTTGCTTTTTTGGTGAGGCAATCAGGGTTAAGTGACTTGTCCAGGGTCACACAGCTAGTAAGTGACGTGTGTCTGAGACTGGATTTGAACTCATGTCCTCCTGACTTCAAGAACAGAGTTCGATCCACAGCGACACCTAGCTGCCTCTGATAATATTAATTCTAAGTCAATATGAGGCCTGTGGGGATCCTAATGTATAGGCCTGTTTCTATTTGAGTTTGACACCACTGCTGAAGGGGTTCTTTGAGATCATCTACTCCAATGTCCTAGTTTTATGGATGAGGAAACTAAGTCCCATAGAGGTATAGAGACTTGGCCGAGGTTCGTTACATAGCTAAATCAGTATTTAAAAATCAAGTCTCCATATATAGTGCTCTCTCTACTACACCATGTGAAACAGCCCCCACATATCTGCAGCAATATGTTTTAATGGAGAGCTTTGGGTGTCCTGGGTTTGAATCTTGTAGCCATACTTACTGGCTTAGTGACCACAAACATGTCCCTTTGCCTCATGTCTAAGCCCCCAGTTTTCTTTCCTCTAAAGATGAGATAATAATATCTATATCACAGGATTGTTGAGAGGAAGGCTTTTTATATGCCTTAAAGACCTTTGTGAACTACCCTTGCTGCTCCCTTGCTGTCACACAGTTACCTATGTACTTATGGCATTTGCCAGCTGTTCTCCACTTCCAGGTCTGATTAGCCCCTCCTTCAGTCCCTGTGGTTCCTGGTAAATAGTGGTACCCAAATAGTGGTTACCAACCTTCAGCTGGAGTGAAAAGAACACAGCCTATCTCTGATGGAATGTCCATATAGCTTCTCAGAGGACACACGAGGCTCATTGGCCCAGAAGTGTCCAACACTCACCAGAGATGCTCAGCCCCCTCCTGAAGACTTCATACATTGTCCGAGCATCATCATAGTAATGGTTCAGCAGCTTGGGGCTGCCTCCAATCACGGATCGCCGAGCCCCATCAGAGCCCTGTGGAACCAAAAAGACATGGGCAAGAAGGGAACGTCAGGAAACATGATATTTTCAGGGGTTAAGAAAGCAGTCTATCAACTCCATTACTTAGAGATTCCAATATACAGTATCGTTTTTTTTTTTTTTTTTTTAGGCAATTGGGGTTAAGTGACTTGCCCAGGGTCACACAGCTAGTAAGTGTCAAGTGTTTGGTCTGAGGCTGGATTTAAACTCAGGTCCTTCTGACTTCAGAGCCGGTGCTCCATAATATACAGTATCTTTCCAACTACATGCCACAGACTAATTTCACCTGTTAACAAGAAAACTCATTGCATAAATCCCATAACTCAAAGACAAGACAGACTAGTCATTGCTACTATTGTTTTAACAATACGATTCTTCCTTTATAATTATAGCACCATTTTCAAACCACATGTAGTGTGCATGCCCAGGCATATTTTAAAAGGGAAAGATTTCTCCCTACTCTACTGCTTCTTTGATGGTATAAATTCTCCATATCTTAGGTACTCACTACCCTCATTGAAGAAGTTTTTGGCATTCACTAAAGCTGAAGTACATCGAGGAGGACCCCGTTGTCATATCAGGAATAACAAAGTTCACCACCTGACCTTGTCCTTCAGTTTAGTCTTTAAAAGAGGTAGAGATCTGGGAAGTGGATCATACAGACAGACTCAGGCACAGACACAGATGCACACACACGTATACAGAGAAGCTGGGCTGCACTTGAACCTGGCCATACATCTGTGCATCCATGCAACCTCTATGTGTCTGCAGAAGATGGAGATGTAGAAAGAGAAGTGGAACCTTCATTAGATAAAGAGTAAAGGGATTTAGAGCCTCAAAGAGCAGTTGGAAGAGGAGATCTCACTCACATCTCAGGTAGACCAAACAATCTGTTTAGCCCTGCTGGGGAAGGAGGATCAACACAACAAGGAACCATATACACCAAGAAGCAACTAGAAACTTCTGGGTCACATGAGCAACAAGATAGAGGACTAGAGATTTTCTCTGATGCCCGTGGCCTCTCACACCTCTCCAAAAGAGAAACTGTGGGAACTTCAGCTGTCTCTATGGTCTAAGATACTCAGAGTCCAAAAGAAGGCAAAGCAAACAAACAAGCCAACCCATGAACTGATACTCACTGACCCTGAGCTCACTCAGCACCTTTCTCTCACTTCCCAAGGTGCCAGCATTGAGGGTATCCTAGCAGACTCAAATACCTCAGGGTTTGCAATAAAAATTAACTCCATACCCCAGTTCCCCACCTCTTTTTCCAATTCCATAAAGATCCCAGCTCAAGGCTGCAGAAGTTTGTTCTGCAACAGATAGAGCTACAGTAGCACATCAGAAACAAAAGTGTGCTGAAGGGGCATGCCAGCCATCCAGCATGGTGGCAGACAATGGTGTAGCACCAGTGCTGCAAAGCTCTGAAGTGCTGGTGTCAAGCCAGAGAACTGAAAAAAAGAGTGAGTGGGGCAGGATACCCAATCAGGGACATCGTGTGTGTGTGTGTGTGTGTGTGTGTGTGTGTGTGTGTGTGTGTGTGTATGTGTGTGTGTGACAGCACTCCATGAAGCCTGAAGGAAAGAGCTCAATATTTAGCTGGGGCCAGTTCTGTCATCCAAAAGGTATTCGGGGCAGAGACTTAGGCCAATGATCACTGAATGGCCCAGCATGGAAGGAGGCTGAAATGATTTGAGATTGAGCCCCAAAGGAGAACACCATTAGAATGATTGAGCCAGCAAGGATGCAATTGGGGAAAATCAGGAAGAAAAAAAGACTGAAATTACCAAAGATCTCAGAAAGAAATAAACTCAAAGATCTTGAAAATACGCAGGTAAATCAATGGTGAAAACATTAACAATAGAAGCAAATATGGTCACCAGATCTAGTAAATATGAGTTCAGGCATCTATGAACTAATATTCCAAAACAAAGGAAAATGATCCAATACTTAATGAGATAGAGGATCCTGTGAAATGTAAGAACATAGAACTCCTACATGTTCTTCTTGAGTGGTTTAAAAGAGAAATGAGAATTAAGAGAACAGAATTTATGGCCTGCACAACAAAAATAATGGGCACAATAGAAAAACTGGAATCTACGATGCCAAATCTTACCAAAGCAACAAAAGAGAAAATAATAGATTGGGAATGCAAATACAGAAAATATGTGCCCTGTGCAAGCAAAACATACTGATCTCAAAGACAGGCTGCATATAAAGACAAAAATGTCTACTCATCCTATCTAAGGATCATAGGTCATGGCAGGACAAAAAACCTTAACACTATAATGAATGAAACAATAGAAGAGAACTGCCCAGAACATCTGAACATAGAAAATGAAATACCAATTGAAAGAAGTGATAGATCATCCCTGAAGGGGAGATAAAACAAGGCTAAATACTCTGAGATATATAGTGGTTAAATTTAGCAATTTATCTCAGAAGCAGCAAGTCCTGCAAGCAATCAGGAGAAAGACCTTCATACAAAGGAAAGAAAATTTGAATAACACAAGACTATTCTGCACCCACTAGAAAGCATAGGAAAGAATAGAATCATGTTTCCAGGAGTAATGGAGTCCAGAAGGCAACTGAAGGTGACATACCCTGAAAATCTGAGCTTAACCATACATGAAAAAAGGTGGATGATAATAATAAAGAGATGTTTGAAACACTTTTAGGAATTCTAGAAAACTAGAATTAAAGAGATTATTTGATTTTTGAACACCCCAAACAATGGAAATACAAGACAAATGAAAAAGTGTAGCAGCCAAGGACAGCAGCAGCCACAGCAACAGAGTAACAGCAGAGGGATCAGTAAGAAACTGCTTTCTAAACATACACAAAAAGATAGGGGTGAAGGTGGAAGTCCAGTCCAAGTAATAATGAAGAGGCAGGTTGGAGTATTATGGACAGAACCTGGCAATACCCTGCCTACAGGTGATTCAAATGGCACTACATTCTAACGTGGGAGGGTAAATAAAAGGGAAATAGAAGCAGTGTGATAGAGATGAATGTGTGATATGTCAAACTGAGGGCTAGCAATGAGGGAAAGGCTGCCCCTGTGAACTCAGAAAGCCTATGGGGGGATGGGTGAGGAGAAGAGGGGATGGAATGAAAAGAGAGAAGTAGGGGACCTTGCTTTGGTGGTGGGAGGAGGTTCCACTGATAAAAGCTCTTATGGATGAAGAGAGATGGTCGATGAAGGGAGATGCGGACCTTGTGCTAGGTGTGGTTTGGGAGATTTGGTACTTGAAAAGTGTATTCATCCTAACTCAGGAAGGGGAATGTTGGAATTTCTGGAGACAACGGGCACCTGGAGGAGTGAGAAAGCAAGAACTCATGTAGGAAATTTTAAGGCAAATGTAGAAAAAAGTCAACAAGGGCAAGGTATAAGAGCAGCGATGGGGTGTATAATAAGGGATGTTGTGGCAGAAGGACCCTAACATGGGGTAGTGTACTCTTTGACACCTGCAATAATTGGCATTGTTCTGGGACTGAGGCTCAATGGAAAAAGAGAAATCCACAGGGCAAGCTCTACAAGGCAGTGGTGTGGTGGGTGGGTGAAAGATAAAATGACTGAGGAAACAAAGGTTTGAACTTCTGAGCATATTAATTTATTTTAGCAATACATGCCAATTGTCTAACAAATCGGAACCAGGCATTAAAAGCAATTAATAAAACAAGACCAACTAATTAAAAGATAACAATTAACCAGAATACAAAAGTAGGTAATCTGATTTTTAATTGGAGGAAAGATTAAGGACTTTCCAAATCAGGAGGGGGAGAGTGAGTAGGTACAGTTCCCTGAAATCAGAAAAAGAGAAGTCAAAAAAAGAGAAATAAAAAAAGAAAACTTCCCCCAATATTCAATCAAAGGAACATGCAAACAATAACTGATTAACTAGAATGGGGCCAGTTTTCAGATAAGATATATGGATTGCTTGAGATGTATAATTGAGAGAAAACTCCTTGCATCACTCTTCAGATATGACTGGTTTTCTGGTCAGCATAACCTAGTCCTTAGTTAAGGGTTTCTAAGAAGCAAGAAGAAATGGTCCAGCTTCCCAGGCACCTAGGGCTAGGTTTGAGCAAAACAATAGTTTTCTCTCAATTCCCACAATTGAATAAAGTTTTCTCACAAGACAGAAATTGGAATAGACCCATAATTGATTAGAAAGGGAACTGAGCTAGCTTCAGAATTGAGTCACAAGATGGAATCAGTGTGATTAACTTAATTCCCACTACCACTTGCTGTTCTAATTCCCTCATTAGTGGCAGAAAATGGCTAGAGGGGAGACCCAAGAAGGAATACCTTGGAAGCTTTGATTGCATGAGGAATACAGAGAATAAAGAGACCAAGTAATTTTAAGGGTGATGAATAGAGAATGAGGGTCTAGAGTAGAAAGAGAGGATGAATAATGAAGAAAGTGAGAGAAATCCTTTTTGGAAAAGAGTGCAAAAATGAAATTAAAAAAAAAACAACAAACTAAGAAACAGGACTAGTTGAAGGGGAAGAGAGAAAGAAGGAACCTACTCAACTAACTGAGAAGAAAGCAAGGGAGGAAGAAAACAGAAGAAAACCTCAGAGACAAAAGGATAATAAATGAGAAAACAAATTAGAGGAGGGGATTGAGATGAGAGAACTATAATCAGTAGGAACAAGTCCAGCTTAAAAAAGATTAAGGCAAAACAACGGAAAGAATATAGCATCGTGTTTCCAGCAGAAGGAAAAAAATCATAACTTAAAAAACTCAATATTATAAGTAGATGGAGGAAAATATAAACCTAACTCTCACAACTTTAAATGTGAAGGGATCAATTAATTCAAATAAAATGAAAAAGTGACAAATCGGATAAGAAGACAAAACACTACAATCTATTGCTTACAAGAGATATATTTAAAAAACAAAGACATACAATAAAACTGAGGGGATTGAAAAAAATTACTGTGCATCAAGTGAATACAAAAAAAGCAGGAGTTCCAATCATACTAT